GAGCTCCTTTACGGTGTAATTAAAGCCGCCTTAGACTGACCATATGCGGATACAGAAATAGGAAAAAATTACCAATAGATCCTGCGCAACTTGATATGAAAAAGAGTTGGCGAGTCCTCTTCATAAGCAGAAAAGGATACAGTTTCTGAAGAGTGAAAATTGGACCCAAAACATTAGTGGTATGATGTTCAAGCCAGACATCCTTTGGTGCGGTCAGAACCTCGTAATATGCGTCTGATATCCCAGAATTTGAGATGAAAACGTCAATACCTTCGAAAAAAGGCGTATTCTTAACTTCATCTGCTATCTTGTTGATACTGTTCTCATTTGTAAGATCAAGCTGCACAACATGAATATTATCCCTCCCTTTTTTCAATTGCTCTAACTGAGTATTCTTGGGTGAAGAAATTGGCCCACGTATGGATGCTATCACAGTATTATCCTTAGAGGCACTCAAAAGTTTTACTAAATTGAATCCTATACCACGATTGCCGCCTGTAATAAAATAGGTTTTTTTACTTTGATTACTCATTTTATAAATACTAGTTGTAGTTTGATTTGAATCACTGCTTTATGTCACTGATTCTATGACGGCTGTTAGAGATTATGGATGAAGGTCTTTTTGTGTATCTTTATATAGTCGGTTTCCGTATTGGCCATTACTAATCACAGCTAAGAAAATGGAAATCCTAAGCGATGCTGACTTTCGAAGTAATTATGTAAAGAACCTCAAATATGTCAGCATTACCAATGGTTGTTCATGCGCTGGAGGAAACATTCAGCAGAATTACTTTTTACCTGATAAGTTAGTAATCCCCGAGGTTAATGTCATTGCTGACATAAAAATCGGCGGCCATAAATATAACTGAATGATGCCATTCTATTAAATTATGAAGCCGAATGCGGTAGAGGAAAAACAACCTATACAATAGCTATCTAGGACATATAAGCCGCCATATTTGAGGCATTCTGTTTTCAAATCCTCTTGCGATACCGATGGTATCCCAGCGAGGTGTAAATTCATCGTCAAATCTCCCAGAAAGTAGCATAGAACATGGCCCACACACTCTTCTTCACCGAGCACCAAGCCATAAATATACAGTCTACCAATCAATACCATTTTAGCGCCAATAGCCATCGCCTTGGCAATATCAGAGCCGTAACGGATACCTGAATCAAAGAGGATATCAATTTCATCTCCAACAGCCTCAACTATATTGACAAGGCAATCTCGATGGGTCCACCGTCCTGCTATCATCCCCCTATGGTTCGAGACCACAATTCCTGTGATACCCAAATTGGCAGCCATTTTTGCATCCTGGACTGACATGATACCTTTCAATACGATCGGTGAGTCCCAGTGCTTGCATGAGAACGCAGTTTTGTCCAAACCTTGTCTGATCCCCCAAAAATCAGGCTAGTAAACTTATCATTACTTTTTTAGCAAAATATTTAAATTTGACATCGCCAGATTACTATTATTTCTTGAACTGAACTAAAATTGTTGTATTACCCACTTAAGCTTCGAAGATTACTTTGCTAAACCCTTGATCAATTTTTCTCTTGCAATAAATCCATAGAAAATCTTGTTTAAACATCATGCTTTCAACTAAGACATGGCTAGAAGTTACCGCCTCTCAAGAAATCAAAATCAATCATCGTCACTTAGATCGAAAACTTCAAATTCTTTTTTCCAGAGCCTCGCACTCATTGTATGTAGAACGGTATTCAAAGCCGTAGCACCCTGTCTAGCAAGCTGTCTGAATGGTGAAAATGCTATACAATTTCAATTAAAAACATGGCAGAAAAGACTTTCGGACTTTACTCCTTCCCAACCTAGATCAACTACAATTAATTATATCACTATCAAAAAGAGAAGATCTTGACATAAGCAGCGATAATTTCATTTTGGACCTGATAAAGCCGTAAATACCTCTCTAGGTTTTTCAAGAATGCTCAAGCCCGCTTAATAACCCAAACGAATAATATCAGCTTTCGTGTACTGAAATTGTGGTTTAAAAGAGGAAAATCATTCTTTTGCACCTTTTACTAATTAAATTGAAATTTAGAGATTCACTCAGGAGCTGATAATAAGAACAGGTCATTCAATCCAACACACATTTGACTAAAGCCCCTTTAATTTTGAGGATTGACACAGTAGCCTCTCACTGGAATTTGTCTCACCCAATGAAATTTTCAAGTATCGCCACAGGTTCGGATTACTAGCTTCATCTATTCTGATATTCTATCAGAATATCAGAAGTCTCTATCTCTTGAAGCGCGCATTGATGATGATAGAAGTAACAATTCTCTATATAGCTTAACTGAAACACACACTGTTGAATTTAATACAGGAAATACTACGCTTCAAGGATGTTCTGAGCTGCAATATAAGTGGGAACAACTCTTCAGATAATTCAAGTTACAGACAAATTCTAAGTATGCAAGTCACACACCCTCTATAGTGTAATCAACATCATCAATACGTGCTTTCCAGTTCAATAATGATACTATATGTAATATCGAATTGATCACTAATACTTATCCAGTGTTTATTGATCACATCTTAATTTCGTTGAATGCATTTTGACGCTTTGTAGCTTACTATCAACCTGTTAATTTGGTTAGGCCGAGACTCGGCTAATGTCCTATCAAGGTGCTGAGAATATACTTAGCTCAAAAAAATCACCCATTGGTAGAAATTTACCTACTTAATTGTAAAGAATTTATGCGAACTTTCACTAATGATTTGGAGCAGATCCCGTGAACTTTTACTGAACATTTAAAGAAGTTCTAGACATTAACTCAGTTCCCTATCGCATGAGCTTGTAAAATTTGTATGTCGAGTCGCTGGATGGGAAGTGCCTATTGTGTGTATAATTTGAGTGATTGTTTGAATAGATGCAGGTGGGATCTATGCGTAATCATGATTTCGGTGTCTGGGTCAACCTGTCGTGCCCAGGCGAAAAGATCGTATAGATTGACAAAGGAAGAAGCAGCCCGCCACTCAGCGCCCTGCGTTTCTGTTTTCTTGACGAATGCATGACAGAGCATTTAGTTATATTTCCACAATTATTGGGGAATCCATCATTTCCCATTCATCATCTTTTTTTTTGTGTGCAAATTACTGAAGTCAATGTTTTTGAAGATCAAGTATCGTTATGTATGCTTCCTGATAATATCACGTGCTCCGTTTAATCTCATGTGGTAGAATGGGATCAGGTAATATATGTCACGTGCTGAAACACTTTTGCTCTGATCATTCGTAAAGCACGTGAGTAGCCTTGTGGAAAACTAAGCGTACCTGTAGCCTACTTCTCAATGTTCCCGCATTTACATTCTCTTGTGTGCATGTGTGAAGGGTTATACTTGTCTACCAGAGTGGTCCAATGTTGAGAACATAACACCTAAGAGCCACATGAGTCGTAACAATATGCTGAAACAACGATTCTACTTTCCACAATCAAAAGGGTAAGCGTGTTGTGGTTTCCGCTTTACCCAGCATACAAATCTTCCTATATTAGAATAGCCTTTCTAAACAAACAGTTGAGATCATGCGGCGTCAAGAGTTAAAACTTTTTGGGCGAGAATAACTAGATAAACATGTGGAAAATGAAATATCAACAGTAAGGGTACCTGCGAGAATTAACCTTTTGCAAGGCGGATGGATTGGCATGCTTGAAAAGGGCGGATCCTTAGTGAAATGATCGACGGAATAGTTAAATGCTGGTGCTAAATGTTCTAATTAAGATATCCGAGTCTGGTACGGGGTGTTCTCGCAAGGTCTGTCGAAAACTCATCTTTTTCACGGTGCATGCTGCTATAACTGCGACAAAAAAGAGCGCTTAAGAAGCCACTCTTGCACCATGTAGTATCAGATTAAAATTTCAAGTGGACGAGCTGAAAAGTCAGATTGGTTCTATCTGCTTTTGCTCCTGAATGCACATGTGTTATGATTCCAGTCGATCGAAGTTACCTTGTTTTTTAAATCAAAAAACACCCTTTTTTCAGCCTTGTTACAATGGAAATAAGCCTTCTACTGCCTGTTAACATCATTTGAGATGCTGTGCTTGACCATTATAGACCAAATATACCGCAATTAAATGTTAATGATATAGATTGTTCTATGGGGATCGTCTCATGCTCTGAAGAAAAGTTTGATGCTACTTCCAAGCGTAAAAAGACTGTATTTCTTCTAGGAATGGCAATACCGCTTAGAAAACTATACCAAGAGCGAGGAGCTACAAATTGGTAGCCGAGGAACTCGACAAAAGCACGCCTAGCTTTACATTCTGTTTTATGTTGGCTATCCAAATCTTATGTAAGATATTCAGCGAAGACGCGGATGGAATTGAACCGCAGCTGCAGAGCTGCCTTCCGGATATGATATCAGACCAGATATTGCTCCTAGTATTTAAGATCGTAGTCAGTCACACGCTCACTGGCTATCCTTTGAATATGATGATATTGCTACTGTCTTGCGGCGTTCCCTGAGACTGTGTCTATGACGCGTTCCATCACACTACAAAATGAGCGCTGTTCCTCGAACAAGGGCATCAGCAAAGCTGTTGTAAGCCTTAGTGGACAAACATGTGTCGGCATGTAGGCGGCAAAAGGGACACGGTTCAGCGACATAGCAGGGAACTATGTTCGAGTTGATCAAACACTTGCAAGGCACTTTTACTTGAACAATCAAGAGTACCCTTCGAATGCCTTGGAACTGCTAGTACGGGAAGACAATCATGTGGCCTACACAACCATGCATAGTTTTGGCGAGATATCAAAGTTGCAAAAGTTTGAGCGGTATGCGGAATACGAGACTCTTAAACTGCCAGGAAAAAGACCGATATCTCTGCTTTTAGAGCATTGATGGACGCAATGGAGTACAAGATGGTTTGCGAAATGCCCGGAAGCAGATCATTGGAGGGACTGCGAGGACGGGGAGGGGTTGTAAATAGCCTGCAGTGTATCCCATGAAACAATATCTGAAGACGAAATGCTAGCAGCAAAGATGTACGCAGCCAAGGAAAGCTGAAAGGTTGCCGAATTGATTCAGCACAACTAGCATGGAATCAAATGATTTCCGTCACAAGATATTACACCATTGGTACCGCGGTATAAATATCACAAGAAATCTGATACTTGAAACTGTTCATAGTTTGACAAACGAGTAGGAAGTAACGAAGCGAACCGTATGCCCGGTTTGAATTTTTTACTCGTTTCCCAAACTTAAGGATAACTAGCCCCCGAGAAGAATATAATGCTAAGTGATGCTCCTTGAAGCGTAATTAATGCGATTGTAACTCTCTTGATCAGCTAATTAACACATTGGCTATGGCGACAATCTATATAGGAATATTTCAAAAATGTTTCCTAGGTTTTTTGTCAAGAATGCTCCATGAATAAGGGTTAGCTGTATTTGGTATTGCCATAGTTGAATCAAAATCGATGGAAAGTTCACATATGGCGAGCATTCACCCACAAGTTTGTGTTTCATGCTTCAACCTTTGAACCCAAAACCGCGAGGAACTGCCTCATCCAAGCTGGATGAGCTGGCCAAGCTGGGGCTGTCACCAACTTGCCGTCAGTTACGGCACCATCAATTGAAATGGCTTGATACTCTGCGCCTGCTAGCGTCATTTCGGCGCGGCAGGCCGGATATGCAGATACCTTCCTGCCAGAAAGAACATTGGCCGCCGCTAGAAGCTGAGGGCCATGACAGATGGCAGCAATCGGTTTGTTGGCGCTTACGAAAGTACGGACCAGGTCGAGGACGCTTTCGTTATTTCCGAGATGTTCCGGAGCCCGTCCGCCCGGAATGACTAGCGCATCATAATCATCTGCTTTAACATCAGAATATGTGCCGTTGAGAGTAAAATTATGGCCAGGCTTCTCTGTATAAGTCTGGTGGCCTTCAAAATCATGAATTGCAGTGGCAACCTTCTCACCTGCCTTTTTACCGGGAGAAACTACGTCAACCTTATGGCCAACCATAAGTAAAATCTGAAATGGTACCATGATTTCGTAATCTTCAACGAAATCACCCACGATTATGAGAATACGCTTGATAGTCATTGATGCTTATGGTTATAGGAAAGCAAAATAAGTGTAAAGACAAGCTTTGGCTTGCTGTTAGTAATTAGAGTACACTGAGGGTACCTACACGGAGAAAGCAAGAGGTATTTATATAGGACTAAAAAATAAGCAGCAGACCGTGCATCCTGATATCACATGGCTACTACACGTGATGCCTGGGCAGGTTCGATAAGGCATCATCTCGTTTAAGTGCATACGCTTTTCGCATAAACGCATAATGGAAAAAAACCGAGTGAAGAAATCAGGTCATCAGATGCTTAGATAATCATATGCAATTGAGAGTACGGTACCTGTAAACGATTCTGGAATTAATGAACAAGACTGAAGGACAAAACGACTTGTAATTTATAGCATTTTTCTGTGAAAAACTAACTTTTCGTAGTGCAATGTACGCATCAGGGATACGGGCTCGGTATAAAGTAGGGTCAACAAGTCCTGGGTTCAAGAATGTAGCAATCAGCTGTAAATCTTAAATTCATACAAAAAAAAGTTGATTCTAATAACCGTGTTCAATTACTGCAGTTGGAGACCATGGTATCGAAGAGATTGCAAGCTTTAAAACCATTAAATTGTATAATTTTGATATGAAATACTTAAAATATCTCCGAAGCACCGCGATTATCACGCAGCTTCAATGGTTCTCGGAGGCTTGGTATATAATCGATAACTTTTGAAGTCATATCTCAGAATAGTTGTATAATTCGATGAATATAACTGGAAAATCTAAGCATAGCTTGCAAGTAGCATTGGAAAAGCACGAAAACTTAGAAACATTAGGTAGCGAAAAGAATGGAATGCCAGAGAATGGCAAAAACATTCCGTATCAGGTGATAACAATATAGAATTATCAGGAGGTTAGAACATCAGAAAAGTCTCGCCGTTAGTTATATCACATGAAGTGCTATTTCGAATAAAAAAATATTAGTTTTGTTTTTAAAAACTGACAAAATTTCTCCAATTTTGGCTATATACACCTAGTGAGCCTGAAATCTGTTCAGAATATTTTTGGACATACCTGAGTTTTTTACAGTCTTCTTTTATCTTCTTAGTTCAGCCAAGAAACTCTTCAATTGTCAGCGCATTCACCGAAGTTCCTTCAGTAAAGCTGATTGGACGAGTATTATTGCCCTTCAAAAAATCTAGAATCGGAGTTTAATGCTTGAACTCTCTATGAAAACAAATATCTCTGAACATCACTAGTGCCCTTTTTAATATGCTCCATGTCGCTACAATGCAAAGACTAAATTGCCAAAGTTAATATCAAAAACACTTCACTAGAGATTCTGAATAATATCTTAGCAGCTAAACTGTACAACACTTAGGATATATGATTAATTACGTCTTGAACGTGGCAGGAATGATATGGCTTCAATGTGTTGTTTCAGTATAGCCGTAATCAATGCACAGCTACTACAATTAAATAAATCAGAAAGCTGATTTTAAGCAATTTCTGAAAAAAAAAAAAGCAAAAGATAGTGTTCCTAACTTCTGAAACCGGACTCTGGAATAATTTGAGCTATTCAGAATGTGTTCTGTCTATATAACAAAGTTATTTTTGGAGACTCTTAGGCGCAGAATTGTCACTTAAATTTGAAAGTCGCGGAAAAATTCTTTTCTGTAGATTATATGGGATTGCAATTTTTATCTCTAAGTCCTGAAGTGATGCAGTGATACATAAATCTTCAAAAGATGATTTACATTATACTGGAGAGAAATATTTTTGCTTAATTATTTACAATGCGAACCCTCAAGTGCAGCTAACAACAATAAATCATCTACTACTGTCTTTTGTTTTTCACGTCACGGGAATCATGGCGTAATCTCTATCAGTTGTAATTTATGAGACTCTGGTTGAGAGAGAATCAGGCGGATCCGACATTTTGGGCCAAGAATCGAGCATTTCACAAATCCAAGTGCTTTATGCGCTTCACCATTCTTAAAACTGGATGGGTATAAATATTTACCACGGAGGGTAGCACATATGTAAAAATAGAATGAGCCTGTAACTTTTCAAACCATTTTTTTCGTTCGGTTAACTGGTGAAATTAAACTTGATCCTGAATTTTCAGTTTGTGTCAAGGTTCACTTTCAAGGAAACAGTTTTTTGCAACAATTCTTTACCGCACTCGAAGGCTCCATATATTGAACTTGTAAGGTAGGTGTTCAAATAATGGAGAGATGTGATATCTTCCCGAGCTATCACGTCGGACAAATATTTTTATTTCTATAGTCTCACGCAAAAACTATATTTGTCGTTTACTTTAAAGTGTAAGAACCTCCTTTGACACAGTCTTGACACAAGATGTCTGTGATTTCTTGAGCCCATTAAATAATATCAAAAAACCTTAGAGCTAGATGTAGATGATACCAGATTTGTACAGTTGAAAGAAAGTAGGTTTATTCCCTATCAACTCTCGTTAAACTCAAAGTTAACGCATCCTTCAAATGTGATAAAACATTCCTAAATAGATCATAAATACTATTAGTTAACATGCATATTTATGCAGCAGACGAGGTAATGTGTGAAGTCCAGAATTCGGACTCAGGACACAAAAAAGCATTTCTGTCTTTCAAGGTTTTATACTCGGAGTACTAGATAGCGCCCTCTTCTGCTTTTTTTTCGGAAGATATAAGTTTAGTTTTTTGAAACTGAATGCTTTGTCGCTATCAGCTATTTTGGAAACTATTCTTAGTGTCTTTCAAGCTTCGAAGTTATGGCTCAGAGGCATCTAATACTTGATTATACCTTTTAGATTCCATCTTGGAGTATTTCTCAAACTTTAAAATGATGATAATGAGTGGTACAGAAATTAAGATAGCTTATATACTTTACTGCGTGCAACCGAAAAATTAATCATATAATGAGCATAGCTGATAATAGCAAAAGGCGATTATCAAAGTGAAAGTCCTTCAGCACCTTTAAAACTCGTAATAGATGCTTCAAGTTGATGAAAAGGAATACGATTTGGGGTCCTTATCTTCGAGAACATTGAGCAGAATCTATGAGTAAGTCTCTATTTTTCTTAAGAGTAATTTTCCAAATAGATATGTAAATAGTGAATGAAAGGAACCGACATAAATTGTGACAGATTGATAACTACAATCATATCAATGAAAAAATATCAATCCTGATGGAAGCAGAATCTCAAATTAGAATATCAAATGCAACAACACATATATTTATTATTTATCTTGCTTCAATTTGGTCTTTTCTTGAACTTCGATGAGTACTTTATTTTTGACTAACTTGAAGATTATAGCACTTCTTTTTCCTTTGAAAGCTAATTTGTGCTCATATTTCTTTTTACAGTTTAGGTTATTAAAACTGTAGTTGTTTTATTACTGATTGAACTTAATTGCTTGAAAGAAATTCGTCGAAAAAATCCACTATATTTTTTGTTTTATTGTATACATACTAAAATTGAAAATCCTGTAGTTTTATTCTGTAGTTTCATTCTGTCTTATAAATTCGTCACTTATTTAAAAATTGAATTTCCCAACACTAAGTCAATTCATCAATTACATACATTGGGAAAGAACAAAGGATTTTCCTGAGCAAATCCCTTGGAAAGTCCAATCGATGTAGTGAAAAAATATCGTCGCCTCGTAAATGGTGCCATGTAATAACATTTCATTCAATTAATTTAATTTTCATAGTCGATTATGTACTTTCGAATGGCTTCTAAGGGACCCGAGTCAGAGACAAGTTCCAAGGCCAGAGTCAACTTTTTAACAAACTCAGCGTTTTCCCTCAAATCAGATCCAAATAGTACTTTTATATTTAGAAGAGGATGAGGATCACGACCACCTTCCCTAGCTGCTTGAATAAGCTTTGGTGCCATGACGTCCTCGATCGTAAATTCATTTCCCTTCATGTCAATACCGGTCAAGTAACGGAACCAGCCGGCAACACCTAGGGTCAAAAGGTCATATTTGCCATTAGGCCTCGAAAGCTGCTCTGAAATGGAGGGTAAAACATACTTTGGCATTTTGCCGGATCCCATCAAGCAAATACGTGAAACTTGATCCTTAATTGCAGGATTAGCAAATCTTTTCAAAACGGAGAGAGAGTACTCTTCAAAGTCCACGCCATCAATTTTTGGAAGTAAAGGTATGACTTCTTCGTGGTTCATGGTACGAATATACTTGTTAATTAAAGGATCGGTGACAACCTCGTGAATGTACTCGTATCCTGCCAGGTAACCCAAGTAACCCATTTCGGAGTGTGCACCGTTAAGCAAACGTAACTTCATCAATTCATAAAGCCCCACATCAGACACAATCTCGACTCCAGCGTCTTCCCAGTTCGGACGACCTTCAGAAAAGTTGTCCTCGAGAACCCACTGAATAAATGGTTCACAAACAACCGGACATTTATCTTCAACGCCCAGAACTGTGGCTAAGTAAGAACGATCTTCATCTGTCGTTTTTGGAGTCACACGGTCCACCATAGCATTAGGAGCTGCAACCTTCTTATCAATCCAATCTGCAAACTCTGAATTCTTCAATTTTGCAAATGCAATCAACATGGATTTCAATGTTTTACCGTTTTCTGGCATATTGTCACAAGACATTACGGTGAAAGGACCACGTCCTTGTTTGTAACGAATCAATAAAGCTTCGTATAAATACCCATATATGGTTCTAGGAGTGTCAGAACTCTTCAAATCATTAATGACCGCAGGATCATCTGTTTGAAGAGAAGATGTTGCCTCACTATAATAGTAACCACTCTCAGTAACGGTAAGAGATACAATTCGTGTGTCTTCACTTGCCATTTTCTCGATCACTGCTGCGGGGTTTTCAGGAGCATACATATAAGAAGTGATAGAGCCAATTACCTGAGTAGTAGTTTTCTCAATTCCCCGTTCCATCAAGGTGTACAAATAGTCTTGACTGCTTAAGGCATCGCGCATAATAATATCCGAGTCCAGCAGGCCTACTCCACAAATTGACCAATCCTTAAGACCATATTTCTGCATCAAACGATGCGTGTAAAGGGCGAGATGAGAACGATGAAATCCACCGACACCTAAATGAACTATGCCCTGTTTCACATTTTCTCTGGGATATTTTGGTACTTCAATGTCAGGAATACCCTAGTTTGCAATAGCTTGTGCAGATAGACAGACAGAGGATTGACAATCTTTAGTCATGTTTGTTGCCAGTTAAAGTTGTTATTTGATTTTGTGTTGAATTATAAAGGTAACAATTCAAACTCTGTTAGATGAAGAGAAAATAAGTACGAAATATAAATTCAGATTGAGCTTTTTTAGTGTTATTATATACTGGATAGTTATCGTACCCGGTTCATTTTTTGGTGCTTGTTCTTTGACCCAGGAACATTAGAAAAAATAACCGAGCAGGAAATAAGCCGAAAACCCATTCCAACAAGATGTTCCGTCAATTTTGTAGTACGGCATCAAAGGCGCAAATGTGAGAGAGTTCAGTAACAAGAGGTATTTACTGTTCACCTGTCTTGTTCTTACGTCATGTATATGCGCTTGGCTTTACTAATCCTAACTCCGGAAGTGCAGTGGTCTTAAAAGTGCAGTAGAATGTGGAGTAAAGTAGCGAAACAGTTGCCTGTTTATGGGGATTATTAGGAAAATCGTACATTCGTATACTATGATTACGGAACAAGCTCCTCTTCGGAGGTTTAGGTGCATCATATGCCGTGACTGCATAATTCTACCGTTAAGTTCGAGAAAAGAACTTGTGCACCCCACATAAAAAATACGCCGTACTATTAGGTTACCTATTCACGTCCATAAGAATGAGTGTACGAATTTTGATCCTGGGGGAAATCCAAAAATCCAAGCAGATAATCCTACTTTGTAAATGACCAATAATCTTAATCAATCTTCGTATGCAAATAGGATTTATTTACGTTCAGTGAACTTTGACCACCGTTCGCTCACTACGTCAAGAAAAATTACAAAATCATGGTGCCTGTGCGGAGTTTTACCCCGAGAAAAATACATTTCTTTCTTTCGGAGATAAAGATGAAAGAGGGCCCTTGTTTCAGTCCCAAAAACGGCGCGCAAGAGCTCGGAAAAAAATTTTTCAAGTACGTATACACAAAGGAAAAGGCACGCAAGATTTCGAATGTTGAACATTTTTCAATAATCGCCAAGAGTTGCATTAATATTCGAGGAATAAGCAAATCTGATTTTCAAATATCGGCATACTATGCTGAATTCGTTCAGACACAGTTAATTAGTAGAAGCAGTATCGTTTTTAGTAACATATAAAAGCGGGGACTTTGAATCAATGAGACGTTATTGACTTTTGGAATTAATATACTCATTTCTTTTGAACTTTAAACAGATTTCATAGATATCATGCCATCGGAACATAGCTCGAGTCGATCTGTTATGGAAAACAGAGATTCAGAGCTCGTGACACACAATGGTGCGGGATGTGATGCGGATATTGAAATCGCCACTCCTTTAGAGAAGGGATCTTTAGCTGACTTAACTGATGAACAAATGGGTATTCCTGATGCGGAGGCATTTGAAGCTCCCCCAAGAAAAGGTACCTACTATGCATTCATAATTTGTCTTTGTTTCCCTGTCTCATTGGGAGGTTTTTTGTGTGGATGGGATAGTGGAATCACCGCAGGTTTTATCAATATGACAAACTTCAAAGAAAACTTTGGCTCCTATAACCATTCGACTGGTGAGTATTACCTGAGCAACGTCAGAATGGGACTCTTGGTCTCAATTTTTAGTGTTGGGTGCGCTTTGGGGGGTGTTTCATTAGCAAAGCTGGGTGACATCTTTGGTAGAAGACTGGCCATCATGCTTGTGATGGTGATTTATGTGGTTGGCGCAATTATACAAATTTCAGCAAGTGGAAAATGGTATCAATACTTTGTTGGAAAAATTATTTACGGTTTGGGTTGCGGTGGATGTTCCGTTTTGTGTCCCATGCTTCTGTCAGAGATAGCACCCAAAGATTTAAGAGGTGCTCTTATATCTATGTATCAACTGATGGTACTTTTGGCATTTTCCTAGGCTACTGTGTGGTGTATAATACTAGACACTACGCTGATACAGCTCAATGGAGAGTTCCATTGGGTCTCTGTTTTGCATGGGCTATAATATTATGCTTCGGTATGTTAATAATTCCCGAGTCCCCAAGATACTTAATTGAGAGAGGAAAATTTGAGGAGGCACGCCGTGCCGTTGCCAAGTTAAGTAAACTTCCCGAGGAACATCCATTTGTTCGCAATGAAATTGATCAAATAACGGCAGGGGTTGAGGCTCAAAGAATGGCAGGAGAAGCGTCATGGAAAGAACTCTTCTCCGTCAAAACAAAAGTCTTGCAACGATTGATCACGGGTGTGCTTGTCCAATCATTTCTACAGCTTACGGGTGAAAATTATTTTTTTTTTCTACGGTACAACCATATTTAAGTCTGTTGGCTTGACAGATGGATTTGAAACATCAGTAATAATCGGTACCGTCAATTTATTTTCAACTATTGTCGCAGTACTTGTTATTGACAAGCTGGGAAGACGCTTTTGCCTGATGACAGGTTCTGCTGGGATGCTTGTTTGCATGGTGGTATTTGCAAGCGTCGGAGTTACTAGAATTTATCCAAATGGGGATTCTGGTCCAAGTTCAAAGGGTGCAGGAAACTGTATGATTGTTTTCACCATGTTTTACATTTTCTTCTTTGCAACAAGTTGGGCTCCAATTTGTTATATCGTTGTTGCTGAATCGTTTCCGTCAAGAGTGAAAGCAAAGGGAATGTCCATATCAACAGCATTTAACTGGTTGTGGCAGTTTTTGATTGGTTTCTTTACCCCTTTTATTACTAGCGCCATCAATTTTTATTATGGTTACGTATTCGTCGGCTGCTTAGTGGCAATGTTCATCTATGTTTTTGTTTTTGTACCAGAAACTAAGGGACTATCACTGGAAGACATTCAAGTTTTGTACGAGGAGGGAGTTCCGCCATGGAAAAGTGCCTCATGGACCCCTCCAAGTCGACGTTTCGTAGCCGCTAAAAAAGAATCTTCCAGGAAGAAGAGCTGGAAAAGAAGTTTTTCATACTTCAAGGGCAGTGATATTGTCTAGCGTGTGTAGGTGAGATTTAAGAATAAGAACGAAAACTGCGATTTAACGCGAAAGAACTTCATCGAACCGAGTTCTGTCCTGATGAATTACGAAAATAAGAGGAACTGCTAATCTTGCTTTTTAGGTTTAAATACAACCAAATCTAAGTTTTTGAAGTGTAATGTTTGAAGACCCAATGATTATAACCCATGGTAAAGATTTTTCCAAGCTGATTGACGATGTGCTTTCATTAGCACTAAGGAGGATGAAAAAAAAGGTAAGAGAGGGGGGGGGGAACTGCGTCCCAACAGTACCTAGTTCTTTCTAAAGCGCCGTCATCACAGTGTTTCTGATATGTATCTGGAAACATACAATGATGACGCGAGAAATGAGTTTGCGATGCAGACACCGGGATGGGAGTCCATCTGTGGAAAGAGTCAAAACCGTCTTCTCCAAGCCTTGGGTATTTTAATTGCGGAGTGTGGCAATAATAATGCCTTAATGATGAATTTCAAGGCCAAGGTTTTAACCTGGCTCAGATGTCTCCACTCAGCCATGTCCACAAAGATGTGGTAACTTCAAAATACTCGGCAAAGGACGCGGTAGAGCTACTGAGAAGTCTATTGCTGAGGGGAGGGGCTCAGCGTGTTTGTAGAGCAATTCGCCATTGGAACAAATACTAAAGACTAGGAAGACGCAGGGCTTCATGAATGACGAAAGTATACGTGCGCTTGTTGGAACCGAACTGCTCGATGAAAGAATCGAAGTCAAATAACTGAGAAGGATTCTTCTCGTCAACTATCTTCCATGGATCGAAGAGTATATCCAGTGTGTAGGACGCTTGCGTTCCAATGGGTTGTGTTCACTTGTACCGAACACCAAATAATTACATACACAAGCTCAGTGCGAGAGCGATGGGATTATGACATTGGATTGTATCACGTCGCAGATGCGCAAGTTATATTTCTGACCCAAGCCTCATCTGAAAATATTAATTGCTGCTGCGAAAGGATGAAAGGTCTAGAGGCAGATACATATGATCTCTTTCGAAGAGTTAAGATGAGAGTATCCAAACGAACCTCCGATGAGCTTGCGGAAGAAACACATCCATAAGAAGGGATTACAACATCCAGCGAAAGAAAGCATACCTGCGGAAGCGCATCTACAAAGTGAATGGGTATATCACAGTGTTTCAGTACCCCCAGGTGGGTTCAGAACAAATCAAACATCTCATACTGTACGAGATTGAAGTCAAGTTTTCCCACCAGGTGTTTTTAACACCCGAGATACATTTTCTGGAAGTCAGAGGTATCCAAGTGTGTGTGTGTGTGTTTCAAGAAGGGACGCAGTGTTACAGGAGTGAGATTTTACTCTGGATCAGAAATAAAAAGAAAATACTTTTGAACTTTGAAACAGTCTCTGAAATGAAGATCCATGTTCTGGAGTTTTTTCCGAGATTAGAGAAAAAACAACAGCGCCAGGCTGCCGAGTGCGAACAATTTCGTGACGGTTATCGAGAACAGAAACAGTGCGTGGGAGCTGCGGTGCAGTTAACTTCTAGCACATATTGGATCTGAGTATCTATCTGCGCAGCTTATATATCATACGGGAGAAATCAAACGGTATGCCTACCGCATGTAATGGGAGGTGAAGCAAAGGGACACGATGAGATACGATCCGAACAACACGCCAAGCTGAAAATTTTATTTGATGATACAGATCGGGCTGTTAGACAATCAGACGTTTCGGCGAAAGTTTCACTGGGAGATGTGGGAGGTTCCTAAGGTGAATGTACCACCACACTGGTTACAATTGCAGAATGTATTTTACGGAGCTATCAGGAGAGAATTAAGTTACGTTATACACGCACAGTGCCGTTTTATTTGGGCAAATGCTGGGGCGGGAGTGGAGGAGTAGGGGAACTAGGGGATGTATATCACATAAGATATTTCTTTGAACTGCAAATGTGAGCCATTACCATTAGACACTTAAGAAAGCCAAGAGACTATAGGCGTAGTATATATACAAGCTAATGCAGCATGGAAGATTTGAACTGACGGTACGCACGGAGTTTGTGAGCTTGAGTGTTCAGCTAAGCGACTATCATAGCGTTCCACGTAAATGTCGAAGATGATGATGGATGGGTGTATTTGGCGCAGTATCTGGGACCGGCGGGTAGCGTGGGAAGTTTGATATTCGTATCGGGCAGGCGAATGCAGAGTTGATCGCATGGAGTGCCACAAAACAGAGCATACGATGGACAGCAGCATGATAACCTAAGTACTGGTTCTCTTCAAGTTGAATATGGTTGTTAAAGAAAAGAGCATCGAGCCCTTCTTTAGTATCTCCGAGAAGACCATAATACGTAAAAATATCCCAATAAACCAATGGATTCACACAGCTATAAACTACGTATTTTAATTACGGTGGTTAATTCGTCAAGTATTAGCAGCGTACTTCGTTAATCGGCGTATTCTGAGCTGCCAGCTTTTTCTGCAGCAAGATTGACTGTAGGAAGTCATTATATCACCAACGTATATGATAAAGATAGCATGCAACTACTGAAAAACTGCACATGTTTAAACAGTCACCAAACTTAAAAAAACAAAGATTCGTCTATCATGTTGATGCAGTAAATAGCTATAATGTCAAAAATGACAAAAAATGTGATCCATTTTCTCAATGGTTGCTTTCTCGATCACAGACACTGCAGAAGCACTTTTATGATGTTATCAAAATGGATATTTCGTGGTCGCCGCTAAATTTCAATCATTTGGAAAAACCAATACCATTACCATATCCTTCAGAAATTTTATTGAGTGGAACAGAGAAGTTGAAACCAGATCAAAATTGTGAACTTTCAGCGAGGTCCTCCACCTAATTTTTATCTGTATTGTAAGGTAATCCCCAATAAGTTTTGAGTAAAGCTCCAAAAAAAAGAGTACACCATTTATTGAGTACTGCATATGCTTGCTATTATAGTTTCCAGCCGAAGATGAAAAAAATCATTCTCCAAATTGTTTGTAAGCCTTAGTTGTCAGTGTCAGTAATTTGGAAATATGTCTTCGAGAAAATTATTCTTGTCTCATAGCTATGCTATTAATTTCTGCAAACGATTAAGTCATTTGTGTAGAAATAGATTCAAGAATTTTACTAAAAGCGAGTATATTAAAAGCTAGATTGTGCCAGTACTTACTTTCGTTTCAATCGCATATTTACGGTTACGCTGTTGAAGTTTCCGTATTTCTAGATCAGCTCCTCTATCGTTAAGAATAACCACTATCAACGAATTTAAACGTCATCCCCCAAATTTCGATCGTTTTCAGCCAATGATTATAAATTTTTTCATCATTCTTACTGCAAGGTACGACGAAACTAGCCCAATGAACTCACGTCGATCAAGCTAAAAAATGATACCGCTATATTCTGGTGTTGATTTTCTTCTGTGCCTTCTAAGGAAACGCATCTGATGACCGCGTTATAGCTATGTTAATTTTATTCCCACTTACGATTACAAATAGCATTTAGTAAGCAGACGCGGAGCATGTTCCGCGGAACGTTATGCCAAAAATTGCTCCTTTCCACCTAAGTCATCTGCATTAAGTGACGAAAAAAATCTACTACGGATGCCGGAAGCTTGTTTGTGATCTCCGTCTTGCGGCCGTGGCAGCTCTGTGCCATTTGTAATGCATAGGTTGAATCTGAATGAAGTTTCCTACTTAAGCGCTTTCACAGTTACTCAATTTTTATTCTCCCACCCTTTAATGACCAGCTTCAAACAAGCACAAAAGTGTTTATTAATGGTGGAACAGATTTCATTGGCTCGGCTGTGGTTTCTGAGCTTCTCGAGTCTGGTCATAGAGTTATAGCGCTGGCAAGGTCGGAAGAGTCTGCTAATAAATTGAGAACATTTGGCTCTGGAGTTGATGTGCTTTACGGCGATCTGAACGACCAAGAGTCCCTAAAAAAGGGTGTAACGCAGTCCGATGGCGTTATTCATCTTGGGTTCATACATGATTTTAGTAGGTTTGAGGAATACTGCAAAATTGATCAGACGGCCGTTCTTTGCATGTTAGAATCGATGCGCGGCACCAATAAACCTTTTGTTTACGCGAATGGGCTATTATGGCTACCAGAAGGTCGACTTTGCGATGAAGACATTAGGAGGGATCCAGAAGTTCAAGTTACCCGCGCTATCACAGAGGAATTAATCCTGGGGTACCAAGACAAAGGCGTCAAAACAATGATCATAAGATTAGGAGCATCTGTTCATGGGAAAGGAGATCATGCATTTATTCCTTCTCTTATTGAAATTGCGAGATCTTCGGGAAATTCGGCGTATATCGGAGATGGACATAATTCCTGGCCAGCAGTTTATCGTCTCGATGCAGCACGTTTGTTCAGTATAGCCTTGGAACATGAAAGTGCTGGCGGGGTGTATCAGGCTGTTCCCGAAAGTGTCTCAACCAAAAGCATAGCCCAGGCTATTGGCACAGGTTTAACTTTACCTATGATTTCTGTGCCTCTTAAGGAAGCTTCAGAGTAGTTCAGCTGTATGACGATGTTTCTATCGAGAGATGTTCAAGTCTTAAGTGAAAAACTCGCACTGAGTTACGTTGGTATCCGAGGGAGATGGGTCTCTTGGAAGTTATTTTCGCCAACTACTTTTGATAGACCTATATTTCTTTGATTAAACATGTGCTCTAAAACACCTTACGTCCTATATTGCATGCCTGAGAATATCTTTCAGTGTAGAAATTACCGTAAGCATTAGAATTCAAAAAGAAGGCGCTGATTATGTGCATAACACTACTAACGTGCGTATTATTTGTTTAGATAGCCTATAGCATACTAAACTCTCCAAAACATTGTACCGGCAAAAGCACAGCTGGCACATTGCCATTAAGTGGAATGGTTATACAATGAAGTGATCAACAAACACGCCAGGTATTACCGGGGGAGACGAATAGAAATTCTAAACGAATAGAAGTTGTATATTACAGAAAACTACTGAAATCAGGAGAACGAACTTTGCCCGTTTCTATCGTCGTCGTTAAGCTGTCCGTCAAAAGCAAATAACCCTAAAGTCTGCCAGCAGTCCAATCAGAAACCTTCTCCAAATCTTTGAGAAGCACGGTCATTGCCTAGATCGTCAAATAAAATATCCCAAAGAATATCGGCGTTATTTTGCATAAATTGGTTTAGAGCGTCATCTCCAGTGGAATTTATATATTCAGATGACATTTCCTCAGGTACAACAGTAACAGAACTCTTTCCAAAAGGACTAGAGTATATTGCGTTTTCTAATCGCCTCAAGAAGACCTCATTAAAACCCTGTAAGGTACGCGCGCTTGTTAATGTCGTTCTATTAAGTTCCAATTGCCTCGGTCCAACCCCCATTTAAGACTTACCTTTTGTTCAACATGTTTAGAAATTTCCCCGTCGATCGCAGTCTTTTCCCAAAAAATTTTCGTTACAGATACTAAGCTTCCAGAGTCAATGGCATGGACAATGCATCTGAATATTGGAACAGCTTGGAAAGTACATAGATAACATTCCTCAAGTCTTTTGCACGCTAGATTCGTGATGTGAACCACCTGATTTCGCATATAGCTTGTTAGCATTTCCACAAGGGTATCTTCGCACTTTGCGGGTGTTGTGGAGCTCTTTCTTGAGTCAGCTTTGAAACATAGTCTCAAAAGAATCCTATTGTGGAATATACAAACTCTCACAATGGCGAAACAAGCTTATTTATATGAGCTGATAGACTATTCCATACTGCATTGAATCGAAGTTTCAATAGTTAGAGTGAATTCTGCAGCTTTGTATTTATATTTGTCCCGCACTGTGAAATAAAATTATAGTACTTTGATCATTACTTGAGTTGTTGGAATCTTATTATCAAGCGTTAGATTGATACAATGCATAGGATAAGTCACGTTACCAGCTACAAAGACAGTGACAGTATTAAAAAGCTCGAGGAACCGCTAATGATGGAAGTATGCTGGAGCCGAAAAAAAAGTATTCCATGACGACGGGGAAAGAGCAAATCCCATCGATACCACGATCCCTATAATGCTCTTTCCATCCGTCTACTGTGACCACCCAAGCGTTGCAGATTCACCAACAGACTTTCCAACACCATAGCGTTCAACATACTACTGATCACCGTATTTTCCGACACCGTACAAATTTTCCGCAAGGAAAAACACAGTCTGCCCATCTCTCAATAATGCAGGCATCAAAAACCGTCATAACAGGAAATGCAACGGCAAGGTGTCTTCACATTAGATTTTGTCCTGATCCAGCTTGGCATCATCGGTAAGACATTCTTACGTGTAAACAGCCTTAGAGGAGCTCTCCAACAGTAATTCATCGTTTTCCGCAACCTGTTAAAAAATTTGAACGGAAAATTAAAATCTTCCCATTTTGAAAATAAAGATCTGCGATTTTAACCCTATGGCCTTGAGATATGAGTTCCTCGACTGTAACGTCCTCCAAATACCTAGTAAAGTACTGAGGACTGGAAAGAGCGAACACAACCAGTGCTTTCATATTATAGAAGTATAACTAAATACTACAATTACAACAATGAAAAGAAAAATTGTCCATTGAGAGTTAAAATAACTGTGAGCTAAACCTCACACATGTCAGATTCTCATTGTTGGAAGGAAATTTTGAATGTTTGATTTCTCCGTTAAACTGTGACTAAAGTTATGGGGGATGATTGCTGCGGAAGATCTCAGAGTATTTTTACAGTGCTCAAGCCAAATTACACGTTTCTATAGTTGAAAGCGCAGGTAAAAGGAACTGGATTTCTACAATACGATCAAAGGGATGTAACATTTTGATGCGAATGTGATGATTTATTGACAAATGTCTCAGCCCTGCTTGCCATGGCACTAACTATTATGTTTGATAAGTATTGTTTCAGAAGCGTTGACAGATGAGCTTCATCCGGCTTTGATCATGATTTTTCACGTTGAATCATTGAATCCAAGCGCTATGGTAAAATGTACACAGCATTTGGCCAGCTGAGAACTTTCTGATCATTATAGAGTGAAAGCTTTCAGTAGTCTGGCGATGATAATTGGGCCTTCTTCCCAAATTCTATGCGCTTTGCAAAACAGATGCTAGTTCTCTTTCCTGAGAGGAAATCTAAAATACCTTGTTAATCTGTTCACAAATGTGACTGCCTTATTAGTAATTTGGTGGGAGTTCTCCAAAATAGTGCTGGCTACGAGCGCTCCAACGATATTCCTAGTCTCACTGAGATTATTAATTCTGATATTTGGATCTCGTAATGATAATTTCAGCTACACTGACAATGGTTGGTCTTGCAATGAAAACTGTGAAGTTATAATTGACTGTGGAAGTAATTAAGTATAGAGTTAATGAAGGAATTCTGGCCACAATTATCGAGCCGTGTATTTGTGAAATCAAAGCCTAGGTAGGAACTCTTATGTGGAGAAACCCTTCTTTTTTTCTTTCAGATACTGATCAGATGATCTAATTCTCTGAACTTTGCTCTAGAGTTGCGTATAGAAAGGTTTTGTAAGTATGTATTTTAAATTAGCTTCTTATATGGGCTTCCTAAAAGTGCACGTCAATTCTTATCGCATGCTTTGACATTATTAAACTCGTAATTATTGGGGTACTTTTGGGACAGTTTGTAAGTGTGCTTTGCTTCACTTCGTATTGTCTAATGAGCGCTGTCTATCCAAGGTTTATGACGTTTATAGAAATAGCAGCTTCTTCCTAAGCACTCAAGAGCATCTAAACGCATCTTTTCCTGTGACTATGATTACCATAAGCATTACAATTGCGGCAGCCAGATAAGGTACTTCCTCGACAATGTCTAACGCTTCCGCACCACCATCCACAGGGACTGCGTAATCATTTGTCAAGCCTAAGAGGTTCTAAGGTGGTTGTTACCAAGGGTGAGCTGAGAAGCGTACTGTATGCAAAGGTCGGAGAAGCTTCAAAACTGGATAAGTTATCTGCGTCCCTATTTGTGTCGATATCTTCATTTGTTTCCTCGTCAATTTCATCTAATGCTAGCATATGCGCACTACTCGGCGTCAGCCGGTGAATTTCGCACTAAAGTGGAGGCCCTAGAAAACTCCGTGTCGTACAAAGTTTGCAAAAGTTCCACAAAGAAAAATTTATAAATGCTGAAAATCGTTGTTTTACTTTTCAAAACATTGAAAAGTTCAACAAGAGGAATGTTGAAAACTACAAAGTTCGTGTGTTTTAGTTTGCAAAGCCCAAATAGGAAATAATACCGTAATAGGAAATAATAGTTCATCCTAAAGGGGCAATTAGAGAGTGGTATCGACTGGATACCGAGATTATCAAAGCCTCTAGAATCCGTTAACGGCGACAAGCGGCCGTCGGTGCTCCAAGGTACGAAGCATCGTTTAAAAATCTTTTCATCGTTAATGTTTGTGAAAAGTCACAAGCTTTTAATTTGTGAAGTTTTTTTCAAGCTGTCATCCAGGGGAGTTTAGCTCTATGCATGGACGATATCAGTACTTACATTTCGGTCGACGGATATATACTTGAGCGAAGGGAGAATGAAACATACCGAATTGCATTCTGGGAAGTGGCCAGGCGACGTATGTCCAAGGTACAACAAAGCAGATTTCAGAACTACGATTTCATCGAGATAGACAAGTACAAAGATCACGAAACTGATCTTTTTCCCTGTACCTCGGGAACCCTGTTTGAACTGGTGGAAAACGAGGTTCAGTTCTTTTACAAAGATCCTGATACTAAAGTCATGAAAGTAGTAAACAAGAGAACAAGATCACAGCTCTCTCGTACCGCAGAATCTAAGAATGTCATACCTGTGGTCTTCAGAGGCAACAAAAAGAAGTATCTTTACTTGGAATACGACGAAACTGAAGTTAGTCGTCAACTCGGCGAAGACAGGTGGTTTCTGGACTTTGAGGAGGTAAATGAAGAGCTCATGCTTGCGACAGAGCGGTGTAACAATACAGTCTACAAGCAGTTGGGTGCAGACCTTCTCGTGTTTTCTGAGAGAGATCTACAGTCATTAAGACGATTTCATGCATTTCGTGGAGAGTACAACGCCAAATCCAAGCGTGTGTGCCAAGCTATATACAAGAGGTCAAGGGAGAGAAATATGCTTCGTTACAGAGCAACACGAACATTCAGAAGACCCCAAGTAGGCGAGTCCCTCCTCAAGACCTTACATGAAAGAAGCATCAACGAATATGCTCTGAATTTTTCACCTTTTCTCTACATGCTTCTGAACATTCGGGAGTTTCCCCTGTTGATGGAATGTTTTGGTGAAGAAGACGATGTTTATGATGAGGTTGAATTGCAAGATGACCTTTCTGATGAAATAACAGTAGACGGAATCTCTCGTATATTCATCAGGATGCTACAGGATGAGGATGAACTGGGAACTATTTTGGAAATCATGGTTCGGCTGACTGCTTTTGACCTTCGAGCGGAGCGCGGTACAAGTGAAGATGCGGATGACAATGAAGAAGACGAGCTATCGGAAGAGGCCCATGCCGTGGAGAGTCGTGATAGTACCCACTCTCACCCTGTGTTGCAAGTTGCGGGGAGAGTCGGGAGAATATATTCTTAAACTATGATATAAGAGCTCGAGGCCCAGACGGGGTGTTTGTATCCGGTAAGCCCTTTAATAAAATACCTTGAAGACTTCAGAGCCAGGCGACATCTTTTACATGCCAAGTCCCCAAAATGTGGGAGCTATGATCCTAGACGACCGTACCATCAACTTAGCCGAGACAAAAATAAAGAATAGCCGGTCTCTGTTGAACTTGGTACCAGAATATGCCAAAAGAAAACTACTTCCATTGAAACGCCCAACCTGCATTCTTTCTGCGGAAGCTATCAAGGGAAAGGTGATCAACACCATCGACAAAATGACCGAACTGCTAATGTGGATGGTTTACTTTTCAAGTGGGTACTCGTACCGGTTTCCCGAACTGCAGTTACTTTCATATGCAGGACCAACGCGTAACTTGTTTGTGGATGAGAAGACGAGATGTATTGAGATATTTACGACGTATAACAAGTCGGGAGCACTGATAGAAGTACGTCACAGTATCTGTTTTCTTTTTGACAAGGTAGGACTGGGGCTGATAATGGTACAACAGTACGGGAAGTATGGTACTTGGCGTTGAGACAATATTCGTTTCGAAGATACGAAAAGGACGAACAAGGTCAGACAGTTGCGTTCAAGCTAGTACCCGACGACCTTCGGCAGTTGCGACAAGGTATGGGCTATCTCGCGGAACTACGTGAACAATAATGTGGCGATGGGTCTTTACGAGTTAATGGCCATACAGTAAAGACGCGTCTGAACTATGGACTGGGTACATCTGAGCGATGCTATAAGCTAATAGAGACGAGTACAAATGGAGATGATCCTGCGGTCAGTTCGAAAGGGAGTTTGAGTTTTGAGAGGGCGAGAATAGCTTATGTACGGTATGGAAAGATAGCCTTGTTTCACATCCCCTTGAGAGCGTTGAAATAAGAACCAGATGCAAACATGTCTTGTTTGTGTCAGACCAAGGAGGTACCCGGCCAAACGTTGGGAAACTTTTGGATATCTTGTAATTGATGAGTACCACAACATGGAAACAGAAGAATACAGGAGGGAAACATTCGAGCCCATGCGAAACGTCGATTTCAACAAGTTTGAAAAGGTTTTATTTCTCAGTGCCACAGCTACAGATTGGGATGACAGTAAACAGGCGATGTGTCGACTAGGATTTCGTGGGGTACTCAAAGAAGATGAAGATGCGCGATTGATGGATTTCAAAACAAAGGTCATCAACCTCATAGACAAGCCACCACTAGGCCACATCTATAAGGATATAATAAAATCAAATGATTCACCCAGGGAAGCCCTAGAGCTCTAAAAAGTCATTTGTCCTTGAGCCACATTCGAAAGCAATTGTGGCTGTTGGCCGTAGGGCCCTGGTGGAGGAGCTTGCAATTGAATGGAATAGATATTTCAACATTCTCTGGATCCATGGATCCTTGTCATCGGAGGAAAAAACACGGCGAACACAAACGTTTATCAATGATGGCAGTATGCGTGTACTCATCGGAACAAAGCTTGTGTCCGAGGGAATCGACGTTAAGGAGTTGCGAATGGTTCTCATTGTCGACTATCTTCCACAGATTGGAGAGTATATCCAGTGCGCTGGGCGGTTGCGTTCCAACCGGTTCTGTTCACTGGTTTTGAATAGCGACGAGCTGTCGTCACCGAGCCAAAGGGAAAGGGATGGTTCAATGACGTTGGGTTGTATCACATCCCAGATCCGTCGGTTTTATGGGTTATCAAGTGAAGGGGAGCAGTAATATGGCCTAGATGCGGATACATGCGACCTGTATCGACGGGTCAAGATGGGTGTGTACAAGAGAACATCTGACGAGATTGGCGGAGCTTCACAGCCAGTGCGAAGAGATTTTGCCATTCAAAAAGAGAAGGCGTCTTTGCGGAAGCGGTTTTACGGCGTCAATGGTTATACCACGGTGTTCCACTACTTGAATCCCGAGCACGTCAAACATCTGATTCTATAGTGGTGTTGATATCAAGTTTCTGCCATTCGGGAGTATTCCAAACCCGAAATACATGCTATGGGTGTCAAAGATATCCGGACGTGTGTTTGTGCGTGTGAAGCTGTCTGTTCGGGATTTTGCGAGAGAATGGTTTCTCAGACAGTGAATGGAGATTGATGATATTATTCACTCTCAGAAAGACCTGATTGCGTTTCTCAAGAGTTTTGACGAATGCAAAGATCGGCTGGTTGCGAGGTTTCGTATGAAGTATAGGCCGTACCTTGATCTTTTAACTT